TAATCCTACTGATGATTTGGAGAGTCCTGCAATTAGAACAGGTGAATTTGCTATCTGCTTCTCTGTTACATGAGTCATCCATCATTGCAGGCTCTGTGTGTTCAGATATCAGGGTCTATTGATGTAGGAGTTAAAAGTTAAAAGTGAGACTTTTTTGGGTCCAGTTTCCTCAAAGTTTTTAAGGACACAACCAAATGTCCAGATATATGTATGTTTTGGCTAATAATTTTTAGATTCAGTTAAGTTAATGGGACCAAATTGTGTTTTGCAGGTGGTTGTTGCTAAATTGTCTGTTATGTGCAGACACAACAATGGTTTATCCCTTAAGTCAGGTGTCTTTTTTAGTGATTAAAAGACTCATGGGCCAGTATTTAACAAATAAAACATTCCTCTGGAAATTGTCCTACGTACAAAGACTGACCTGATAACAAGTGAAAAAGCAGCAAATATCCAAATAAATACTTTGAAAGAACTTCAGAAAGTCTCGTTGCAAAATATAAAGAAATTTAAGGTGACTGAAGATTCTTGTACAGTACTGGATGAATAACACATATCCCCAGTTTACAGAAAAAATGTAGAAATGATGAATACACTATATGACCCTGGTGTGGACCAGAGTATTGAGAGCTATGTTATCATTTAAGACTAGTAAATTTGGTAGTAAGATGCATGGTGCAACACAATGGAAAAAGATTTGTGTTAATTATTAACAAGTAACACACAGCTAAAATACAAGAATTTCACTTGCCAAAAGTTTATGACAAACTCTGGGAAGATCAAGAGCATGCTTAACAGCACAGCAAGCTATGTAATTTGAAAGATTTTTTCTGTGGTTTGTTGGATTAAATAAACTTTTTCTTTAGTTTTGCACAGTGAAGCTCTGACAATCTTCAATGAAAATCATTTCATTATACAGTAGAAGCAACGAGTCACTTCAAAGGTTTGAGTGCACATGGGAGTTGTTTCCTCTGAGTGTTATTTACCCCACACATCATTAGTTCAGACTATGTTGGAAACATTTACAATATAAAACCATCAAGACTGTTTTGGAAAGTGGGTTATGTTCTTGCATAGTTAGAGCTAAAGAGCTGAGGTGTGTTGATATGAATAGAGCAAATTAATCATTATTATAATAGAGTATCTAATCCAAACATTTGTATCATTTTTGTCATAGGGCTAAAATGTGGTTTGTTTAATTTTACCTTTGGTTTATGATTATTTCTTTGTATATATAATTATGAAATACACTAATATTACCACTATAAAAGAGTTCATTATTATTGGATTTCCTGGACTTCCTCCTGAATATTATGGTCCAGTGTCTGTTCTTCTTCTTCTTGTTTTCCTTGCTATTGTAATTGGAAATGGTTTCACTATAGCTGTTATCATTTTTGAACGGACTCTGCACAAACCAATATATGTGATCTTTTCTAACCTTGCAATGACAGACATCTGCTTTGGCGTGGTGACTCTTCCAAAAATCATAGGCAGATACTGGTGGAATGACATGATCACTTCTTTTGGAGCTTGTTTTACACAGATGTATTTTGTTCATTCTTTGGGAGCTATTCAGTCTTTAAACTTGCTGATGATGGCTTTGGATCGTTTTGTTGC